TTGTAGAATATCATTAAATTTAATTCCATAATCTAAATCAGATTGAATAAAATTTTCCAACACAAGGAAAGGCGAATCAATCGATAGTTTACACACCGGATCAAACTAATTCCATAATTACAATTAATTAATAAAAAATAATCTTTTTTAAATAATAATAATAATAATTTAAAAATACTTGCGCATATTTTATAAAAACTTCTTATAACATCAGCTGAAAAATCAAATATTTGTTTTATAATCTTCTTAAAAGATTCAGTTTTCAATAATTCCTATAAATTTATTTATTTATATATATATATATCTTGATATTAAATAATAGTGATAAAAAAAAAGATTTTTTATTTATATGTTTAATATAGACTTACTTGAACTTTATCATTAAACATGCTGCAATAATTTGCATCAGGAATTAATGAATTATCAATTTTTAATAAATTTTTGATTAATTCTTTAAAGTCTTCAATGGTTTCAAGACGATTCAAATTAATATAAGGTCGAGTGATATGTGGCAACTCAAAAAAAATGAGTATAAATGAATTAGCCAATTAAATTACAGATCAAATAATCATATAATAATAAAAAATAAACACGAATATAATAATAACGAATAATAATAATAATAATGAACACGAGAAAAAAAACAAAACTTTCAAATAATGCTATTGATCTTACGCGTAAAATTTTAAAAGAGAGATTATCGGAAAATTTTATTCCAGAGAAGTTGATAGGTTTAGAACAACATTACCAGTAAATATATGATATAAACCATAAAAAATACATAATTGTAAATTTGCAAGTAAATATTTACTTATCATACTTTTTGATAGAGAACTTTATGTGTGTTTGCAACGAACCATTACAAACAAAGAGAATAGCTCTTCCATTATAACAGGTCCTATTGGATCGGGAAAGAAAACGGTAAAATCTTTTAGTTTTTAAAATTAAAATGAAAATAAAGTATAATTTAATAATGTTTTCTTGTTTTATGTAGATAGTTAAGAAAGCAATATATGAATTAGAAAAGATTTATAAAGATGATTATATTTGTATAAAACTAAATGGATTAATTCAAACAACCCAATCTTCAGTTTATAGACATATAGTACGTCAACTAGGAATTGTTGAAAAAGGTGTTGTGAGTAGAGAATTTAACATGCATATATTATTATTAATAAATAATATCATTAAATTATTATAAATATTAATTTATTATAATTAAAATAATATAGGATGCAGAAAAAATAATAGCTGATTTAGATCATGGAGAATTTGTCACAAAACCTTTAATATTTATAATTTATAATTTTGAAGAGTTGAAGAAACATTGTACCGATAAATTTATTAATAATTTATTG